GCCTTCCAGGATGGGGACCGCGTGATCCTCACTGTGCCTGGTTGGAGACACTACAAGATATGACTGTCAACCGATGTCAGTGGCGTTCTTGTGGTCAGTTTCTATCCAGATCGCCCGAGTGAGTGTTTGGAGGCATAGGCACCTCGGAATGACTGTGGTAAGCTAGCACTAAGTCCCTTCCCCTTTCAACTTTACTCTTTTCTTTACAATAAGGCTTTCATATAAAAATCATGGTTGTACGGCAGTGAAGCATCTGTGTTGAACACTGATGTCATGCTGTCGATGATGATGATGATGACGATGATGATGATGATGAATTAAGCACAAAACTTCGGTTCAATTAGCAACTGATTAATTCAGGTGGTCTGGCTACTACTGAATGGTGATAACTGAACGGGTATCTAGTTTACGCTAAGGCATCCGGTCAGCCCCAAGACCCAAGGTTTGGAACTTATCCAGTTCTCTGTAAGAAGTGATGGCTAAAACATCCCAGTGGTTTGCCTCTGTACTAGCTAGTCCAACAATGCAAAGCTGATTGCCACAGAGTCAGATGTCCGATCATTTGGCGCCCACCTAATGAGAGACAAAAGAATCAAATACCAAATTTGGCTAAAACTACCGGATTCCAGCAATAACTACTGTGTGGTTTCCAATGGTTAAGGTGACAGCTTTCATGTCTACTGTGACACTCAGGAATAGTCAAAGGTGCCATCATCGGTTGGACAAAGTAAGGTCAAAGTAAGATCAGTATACTGTTTGAGCTCAACTTCAAATCATGGTTGGAAAGGCTCGAAATCAAGTGAGCTCTGTCATGGTCAAGGAGAGTATGCTACCAGTGAAAGTGCAATGAACAAAGTCTACCAACATCGCATGCTTTTTCAGTCTGCTTCATGTTAGCTCTCTGTGGTTTCTGGTTGTCTTCTAGGTCAGAATGACATTAGTATTAAAGGCTACGCAATACACTGTTGCTTCTCCCGGGTTCAGTTAGCCATAAGACCATTTATTAGGAAATGTCATTGCAGAAACGTATTTTCCGGCTCTAAATGGCATTCCTAAATGAGTAGCGCACTATAACTCTCTGTGTTTTGCGAGTTCTGGGCCAGAGTTTGCTCGGGTAGTGTTGAAAAGTTTGATCACCATGCGATGCATGATACGGAAACGTAAAGTCAAAACAGCATAGTATAAAAAGAAGTTATAGTCCACCGTTTCGATTGCCATCAGCAACGCTTCTCAATGATTTGTACAATAAGTTGAATACGGGTAAAGTGGGTCCACTATCATATTTGCCGACTGGTGTGTTCCTGAGATCAGCTGGCAGTCAAGTGCAACCAGCATGGGTGCACAGCATTTTGTGTACTTTGATTAGGGGATGCCTTGCTTTGCTGTTGTGCTGACTGTGATGCGTCACTTTCGAGGCTGATGCAGTTTAGTCTCCAATGCTTCAGTGCACGCTCGTTCTACGTGAAACTTGAGTCCTGACTGGAGTATGAGTGTACCCTCAAAGTTGATCTGATGGTTTGACTAAAGTGTGTAAAGTGCGATGTCTGAGCGGTGTTCAATTTTTTTTAAACTCCATCGTGGAGGAGAATATGCACAGGAATTCGCCCCGCTCTCTGTCCTATATATCAGGCCGAACATTCTGGAAAGGGAATCTATTAGAGGCAGTTTTTGCGATGTATTGGCCCGATAGGGTCTTCTGCTCTTATTATCATACTTTTACGAGCAAAATCTAGCTTCAAGTTATAGATACCTCAGGTGTATGAAGACGCCTCTGTCAATAAAAGAAATGCAGTACCAAATGCCCGCAAACATCTTAGTGCCAAGTTAGTAGATACGAGCTTTGTGGCAGTGGAATCTAGCTCCACCCGCCTTCCAGTAATGAATTATAGCTACTTCGATTCAGCTGTTACGTTTTTCACATTTACGTGTATAGCCGCTGATTTTAACGTGAATTATTGTTGACCTTCATAATGGGACTGGTAGTGGCGTTGAGCTAATGCCTAAAATACGTTGATCTGTTATGATGATAACCATTGAAGAACTTGTATAGAAGTTCTGTCCGAGGATAATAGATACGGCAGGGCGACATTTTCGAAAAAAAAGAGAGCCGATCTGGGCGGCGCACATTTTAACAGCGAATGTGGAAGAAAATTTATCAGAAAAACTCAAAAACTCTGCGAAAGCAGCCGTGTTTACAACAGCAAAGCACAGTACCTGCAACAGAAAGTATGCAAGACTAGATAGATAGTATTGCAATAAGCTTCCAAACACAACTGAAGTCCGAGAAGGATGCCCGTTCTTTCAATTTCTGTGCACTTTCATGAATGACGAGGTGATTAGAAGAACGCCAGAAGATCAACAAAACCCTGTGGTCAACGCATGTCTTATCAATCTGAAAAATGTACGACAATATTTTCTCTTCTGAATAGGAGAAGCCAAAAGTTTATGGATAAACAGACCACATTGATCCGGTCATTAGCGCGCGCTTTGAACTCACAAAGTGTAAGCTCGTTCTTTCAGACATACAGTCGTGGAATACGCCACTGAAAATACAGGGAGAGACACTGGGATTTGAGGAACGTTTTATGTATGTTCTATTAGTCACGGGCGCTGTGTGACAATCGAGGTTAATGCACGAGTCTCCAAGCCTCGGATCGCGTTTGCTCATTTGAGGCACCTATGGCTGCAGAGTGGCATGTCTCTGGATCCCAAAGGATGTATGTAGCGGACCGCTTTTTTATGGCTTTTGAAGTAGCCTTTTAGTAAACGTTGCTTCAGAAAAGAACTCGCCAGCGAATCCGCAATGAGATGATTAGACAGTGAGTGTTCAGCTGGAACTTCCATCAAAGAATACCTTTAGCACCAAAAGCTTCGTTGGTTTGATCGTGTGTTACGCTTACTGAAAATATCACTCGACAGAGACTGCTGTCTTCTCTGCCAAATAAGGAATGAAGCAAGCAGGCAAATGGTCAAAATTTCATCTGGCAAGTGAAACTGAGTATGAAATATCCGGTTGTTTTGGGCTCCTCTCGCCTTCCAGGATGGAGTCTGCTTAATCCAATTCATGGTTGGTTGCTAGATGGAGCTGATAATCTCTTTCGGTGGCATTCTTGTTACTAGTTTCAATACAGAATAAGTGCTGAATGAGTATGTGGATGTGTAAGTATTTGGGAATGACTGAGGTAGGCTAACAATGAAGCCCTTCCCCACCTACTTTTGTTCTCTTTTTCGCAAGAAGAATTTCAAACCATTTGTGGTTTTACGCTAGCAGAGCCTTAGTATTGAACACCGAGGTTATGCTGTCAACTATGATGGTCCATGAAATATCTGATGCCGCGTGTTTCCGTCAACCACATTTTTTACTTGAAACCAAATTACACGGAATTAGCGAAATACACACATTTGCAGGCTAATTTGGTTTTTTGAGGGACTTATCTGGATCCAAGCTGAATCCTTCGTTTGTGATATTTCCAGGAAAAAAACCAAATTTGTTTGCAAATGAATGTATATTCTCGAATTCCGTGCAATTTGGTTTCAAGTAGAACATAAGGCTGACGGAAACCCGGGGACTGCGCCTACCTGATGAGCCCCAAGAAGGGGGAAACTGGTCGTGGGCTGTCGATGGATTTTCAGCAACCTTATGAGTAGTACATTACAAAGATATACATGTATCGCGATATTTCAAATATCGTAGCGACTGAAACATGAGGCNCATATATCGCGATATCTGGAATATCGTAGCGACTGAAACACG